CTCTTTGTTGATCTCAAGGATGCCTCTGATTGTCCCATAGGACAGAAGTTCACGTTCACGTTTGAAATTAGAGAGGCGATTCTTGATGCAAACTCTGAATGGAGAGATTGGTGAAACGGCTTGAGTCGAACTGAATTTGAGATTTACATACACGTCATGTAGTTCGATCGATGTTTTTTTGCCCTCCTCGAAGTAGAGTGTCAAGGATGTTCCCTTGTCACGTATCCGGGTGGCGGACTTGTTGCTCGGGCGGTATTTCCTTGTGTCGAGATTGATTTTGACTGGGGCAGGCATGGCGCATTCTAATCAACTCGATTTTGGCTGGTCTTTTATATGAGTCGTGAATTCATACTCAGAAATGGAGGTTTGTGATATGTCCAGAAGGACAATTATGTGACGAATAGAAGCAATAGAACGGGGATGATCGAGGATTCAGGAAGATGATGAAACGAAGTTTACCCACGAAATCACCTCTTTTTACGTGAAACTTACGTACGATTGAGTGAATGGATCACACCCGGCTCCACCGGTGTAGGTCCCAATCGGCACAGTCTGTTCTACTCTGTGAACGCCCTCCCCTGAGATTCTTCTATTTCCATACACACTACTTCAGGAAAATATATATACCTTTTACATATTTACAGGTATGTTCTTGAGTTTTACGCTCCTCACTCGGCCAGGTCACAGTAATGGCCGACAGATTTCCCGATAGCCCTTCGTTTGTTTACAATGAATCCTCCACGGATTTCTATCGTTCGACATTGGAATCAACCTCTCCCTTTAGTACTACAGCAAAATCTGGTTTGACGCCGCTTCGAAAGCACCACAAACTTCTGAAGGACGGCTCAGGTAATGAAGTTTGGCCCGAATCTGTGGAAAATGCATATTCATAGAAGGTAAGTATAGATGTCGGATGTTCAAAGCTCAGCCCTGTTTCCGACTATGATTGTTATTTGCTAACAGGTCTTCGAGCGTACACTCAGCCTCGACTGGTTCGCAAAATCACGCGGTTAAAATTTCAGACGCTGCTGTACGCGGTCGCTCTCGCTTGCGTAATGCTTACCTTGTAAAGTATCTCGTGCACTATGAGATTGAACGCACCCGGAAACAAGTTGCGTCTCATCTACAAGTGCTCAAGAATATGTGGAGGGCAGAGGGGAACTATGCCAGTGATCGCGTTTGAGGGTATAGATTGAAAAACAACATTTCAATACCTCGTTATATCATTTCATTCAAGTTGCTCCGTTTTGCTGAATGATGCGGCGTAGACTTTTCCCTTGTCGTGGGTTCTGATTCTTTGTTAGTGTTGCAGACACAACCGTCCAACTCAGAGAATACAGCTAGTCGACGGCCTTCTTCACACTCTGTTTCCTCCACATCCTCTGGTTCTTCCAAGCTATCTTTCGCAACGGCCTCGCCGCAAGTATGGTCTAGGACGATGACATCGCCGAATTCGACTCTGGGCTCTTCTGTAAACTCTATTCCCTCTGGAGTACGAGAACCTTACGAGGCACATAGTAGAGCATTGCAAAGCCCAGATGTCCAAAGTGGTGGCTTCCGAACAGTCGCAGGAGATGGATTCTCAATTTCTACAGCAATGGAGCTACCGTCAGGGATGATTCCTCTCACTGTCAATCTTGAAAAGCTCCTCGGAAGTGGTGTCGTGTCTTTACACTTGCAGCTAGACGTTCCTGATTTCCAGGCTGTCTCCTCTTCCTTCGAAGCGAAGACCATACAACCTGGTTTCACCGCTAGATTAGAGGCCGTTTGTCCAGTGGGAAGACACACATCGGCAATATCATGCAAATGTATCACGTATGTGTGGGGTCCTACAAGCTCGCATGCCGACTGTTCTTTCCAAGTGGGAGATCCCATGGCGTACAAGAAGGAACCAATATTCTACGAATCATCTATGTTGCGCCGAAAATTGCCTTCTATGATGCAAGGCTCTACTCACACAGAACCGCATCAACCTTTGGTATGCTTGAGCAAAGAAGAGGCTGAAATCCAAGCAGACATCTTGCAGTCAGAACAGGAAATATCGACTACTGCTTATGGACAGGTGACGATCTTCAACTTTCCAGAAAGTGTGCTGCCTACTTGCCGCCTGTTTGAGCAAGGTAAGTACTCTGATTCTCTTTGAACAATCTTTCATGCATATCTGTTTTTATGCTGTAGGAGCAATGATGATACAACAAGAAATATGTTTCGCGGAACAGACAATTCTGTGCACGACATATAATCTAAATCGACACGCCAGCCAAATGATGAATTGGCTGTGCTGTATTGTTCACGAAGTACAGCAGTGATGTTTGAGCATCACTTTATTGGACCTGGCTGGGGTTTTTGAATATGAGTGAAAATGAGTGTACATACAACTCGGGTGATGCGAGTTCCATTCTCGCAGTGGACATCGGGCTTGTACTCCATTTTACTGGGAGCGGTGAGTTTGGAGCTATTTTACTGAACGGGACAACCACCAGAGTTGGGACACACAAATAATCGGACAAGTAGCACAACGAAACTAGTTCGGTTAGAGGTCGCGCGAACAGCTTCCCTGCTAGTGACGCCATTAATGGTACTTTTATGCTACAAGCTCCTGCAAATATATACCTACGACAAAAGGGTGTCATTAACTTATTACCTTGTAAGAAGCCTCTCGAATACTACCAAATACGCAGTGAGTCCAGGAAGAACAGCATCCAGCTATCCCTACCACAAGAAAACAAGTTTTTAGGTGTAGCTTGGCAAAAGGGGCATCCAGGAAGGACAATATCCTGTTATTTTATTCATACCACACCATTGCAACAAAGGGCGTTCTGGAAAGACAGCATCCCGCTATTCTACGCCTACCATAAAACGATGATATCACCTTACAAGAAGTTTCGAATCTTGCTTGATACTCAGGGCTTCCTGGAAGGACAGAATCATACTAATCCATACGTACCACAATAAGCCAATATTGCCTTGGAAGTTGGTTTTGATATGACTTGACATTCAGGGCATCCACAAAAGTGTTGAATATTGCCTGGCTAGAAGTCTTGGATATTGGTTGCCGCAAAGGGTATGCGTCTTGGAAGGACAGCATCAGGCTGACATCCTATTCTTACCACAAAAGGATAAATTGGTGTAAGAGATACCGTATCTTACATTTATATGTGCTGAACGAACAGCTCGGTAGATCATAGACCGCACAATACAGTCACGGAAGAATACTTCAAAGTAACCTCGTATTGAATTTGCGCTCTGATCAACTCCCATACACTCATTTGGCTTCGAACTGACCGTGTGTACTTGCCGAACAATCAATAATTAATCTTCTCGACTGGGCACACAGACAAGCCCTTTTGGTCTCTGTTAGCTCCTGTTATGAAACTGTTTTCCTTTCTTCGTATGACAGGACGCTGTGATTCTATCTACAAGAAAGAAATATTGCCTTAATATTACTTGACACAGAAGGCGTCCTGGAAGGACCACATCCTGCAGGCTGCTAATCTATACCTACAAAGAGGTTTGACTGGAAGGACGACATCCTGGGATCCTATGCCTAACACAAAAAAGCAATTGCTTCGATATTGCTTGACACATACTAGGGCGTCCTGGAAGGACATTATCTTGCTGTTCTATACCTACCACAAGAGAGTAATGTTACTTTGATATGACTTGACGCAGGGGGCGTCCTGGAAGGGCAGCATCCTGAGATGCCATGCCTACAGAAAGAGTGCAATATTGCATTGATATTACTTGTCACATAGGGCGTCCTAGAAGGACAGCATCTTGCAATTATATATCTACCACAAAAGAGCAATATTGCCTAGATATATTCACACCATTCAAGGGTGTCCTAGAAGGGTCCGCATCCTCCTATTTTATACCTACCACAAAGGGCAATATCTTGGAAATTGCTTGATACGCAGGCTGAGGTTGTCCTGGAAGGACAGCATCATGCGATCCCATGCTTACGAGAGCAATATTGCCTTTTGCTTGGGACATACATAGGGCGTCCTGGACGGACAGCATCCCGCGATTCTAGCTCTACCACAAGAGAGAAATATTGCCTTGACATTACTACATAGGGCGTCCTGGAAGGACTGTAGAACTCTTGGATATTGGTTGCCTCAAAGGGCGTGCGTCTGCATTCTGATATCCTAGTCTTGCCACAAAAGGATAATATTGGCTGGCACTGAGTTTGAAATTTTGCTTGACATACAGGGCATCCTGGAAGGACAGAGTCACACGATTTTTCTGTTGCAATATCTTGCAGCAAGAAAAACGCCTACCTTGCGCCTCTATACAGCCCTCTTTGTGTTAATGCTGCTGCAATTCCTCCCCGTTCAAAACCAGTGTGGTCGTCATGGATGATGGTACCAACTTTAGCATCCCTAAGTCTTGAGTAAAATTAATTTTAGGGCGGTCTATCATCTACAGAGCTGTTCGTTCAGCACATATAAATCTAAGATAATACTGGTTCCACCACCGTTCTCATTACGCAGAACTAGGATACAGTATGCCCTATATAATCTCAGTATTAGTACTAAATTAGCTCTTTCTGAAAAATCAGAAAACTGGATCGTGACGATCGATGACGCACTAGTGGACTTCAAAGCTTCAAGCTTCAAGCTTCATGTTTCTTTGACGTGATGGAATACCAGGATAATTATCGGAATATACATGAGAAGTGAGAGCAGAGTAATAAGATGAAGGTTGTAAATAAATAAATGTTTGCCGATTGATACCGATTGCAACTCGATAAGCCTGTAAATATTGCAGGCCCTGGGCCACCGTGATTAGCACTGTTCATCAGTTGAAGTCTGAACAAAAACCGGTACCCGAGACACACCTTGTGAAGTTCGCAATGAACAGGAAAGTAAGGACCCCGTCACGGTACGGACTCAGTGCTTGCTAAATAATTGCTTTCAAACTTCAAGCTTTCAATGGGCGACGGAATGAGGGGAGCACAGAGATGCCCAGAGGGTGATGTTGTAAGAATGAAAATAAACCGGCCAAAGCCAGGGATTGAACTTGCGCCTCCTGCCTTTCCTGTGCAGTGCTCTACCACTGAGCTACTGGGCCATATTCCAATGAATGTTGGATTTCACAATCCTAGCAGATGTGACTGGCCTGTGCTTGATGAATGAGGTTGAATGAAGTACTCAATGCAAGGGATCAGACGGGTGTTGAGGCACAAGGTTCTACAAGATTTTACAGCAAGAATCATCGGTAGACCCTTGAAACCTATACGGTACTGATCATAAAACGCCAACTGGTATTAGCCTTATTAGCGCTGTTGGAGCACAGGTAGAAAGAGGTAAATCGTGATACGATAACAGTGGATATCATATTAATGGGTGAATGTTAGATACGGATCTCTTTCAGTCTGTCCTGTCGCGATAATCCGTGATATGACAATGCCAAACACTTGTAAAGTGAACCTGCTTAGCTCAACGGTAGAGCCCCGGATCTATGTACAAATATGACAAACTAAGCGTGCTGGCCCATGTGAGGTCGACTCTCGCGGCAGGTATGTAACCACACCTTGTGATTTTTTTGACCTTCGGATGAATGCTCTCTACCACCTAGCATAGGTCCAGGACGCCCTTGTTGATGTCCTTTTAGGACCCAATATTTCTAACTTCTTCGAAGGTCATATTGCCCCCTTTTGTGGTAATTATAGGATATCAGGATGCTGTCCCTCCAGGACACCCTCTGTGGCAAATTTGCTCATATCCAAGACTCCTTACAGGGCAATATTGCCCTCTTGAGGTACGTATGGATTTGCAGGATTCTGTCCTTCCAGGATACCCTTTCTGGCAAGCAATATTTCCCCAGTGTGGTTGGTATAGACCTTCCAGGACCCCCTGTGGGTCAAGTTATATCCAAAGCTTCTTGCAAGGCAATATTACCCTTTTGTCGTAATATGAATTGGATCGAGCAGCAGGTGTTTAAAATAGAAATAGAAATGCGTACTACTTGGATTTCTTTATGATTCTCGGCAGGATGTTAGAATCTCAAAGACGATATATCAGCTCAAAGATTTTGCACTCAAGAAAGAACCTCCCAAATCATGCAAGAGTTCCGAGTTATATATAACACTTGAAGCTTCGAAGTACTGATTATAATCAGAAGCCTGCGATGCCTGGCAAGAATCTTGATATGGATTCAGATATCGATGGGTACACAAAGCAGCTCATTCAGGAGCGCAATGAGGCAACTCTACGAGCAGATGTTGCTCAAGCTGGACTTTACCGTTTGCACAAGCTGTTGATGGTGGTAGGGGATGATTTGCGTGGTCTAGCATCTGCATTGTGCAGAGATGAGCCAGTGGCAAGACAGCATAGTTGGATGTACTTGCCGCAAGACTGACATGTACAGAAAAGAATGAGTCTGCAAATCATGAGCAGAATGAACAGAGATTGCAGCAGCTCAACCCTACATACAGCTCTGGAAGAATCTAGTAGTGAATTTGTATTGGAAACGTAACTAAATTGTGAACGAACAGGAGTCAAATTATATTCATCATCACAAACCATTGTACTTATGAAGTATCACAGTCCGATATTGATAAGCAGGAGAGTCTTTCGTATGATGTTATACATATCTCGATATATATGGGAACAAGAAAAAGCGGGCAAAGCGGCGAAGGAGGCGACGGATATGAAAGCTGCACAAAGATTATGAACAAAAATCGGTCCTTAGAGATCTGAAGACAAATGGAACCCCATCTGCTCAATGGCCGGCAAGACCGCCATCATCGACTCGGCAACGGCTTGAGGCGTCGCTCGCGAGCCCTGCTCGTAGGAGAATGCCCATATTTCCTCCCAATCCTCCCCAGGAAATCCCTGCGTCGGTTCCCATTGCGTAGAGTGGAGAAAGTGGTTTCCAGTCACGAGCCAGCCGTGGACTCCTGGAGCGTGGCCATCGGGATACAATCTGTCTACCCACATGAGACCTCGAATAATGTGGGCGTCCTGCAAAGATTTCAGTATCTGGGCCGGACTAGCATTCGCTTTCAGTTTGGTTTTGCCATGGTTGGTGGCATGATTCGCTCTCCGGATAGGTGGCAGAATCGTCAATGTGACATCCACTTTGGTCTCCTCCCCGCTCCCTGCATCAGTATCAGCATCAGTATCAGTATCAGCATCAGCATCAGCATCCCCGTCATCATCCTCGTCGTCCTTTTTCTCATCTTCATCTTCATCGTCGTCATCCTTTTTCTTGTCGTCGTCATCCATGTTCTCGTCGTCGTCGTCATTCTTCTCGTCATCGTCGTCGTCGTTCTTCTTCTCGGCATCGTCGTCGTCGTCCATGTTCTCGTCGTCGTCGTCATTCTTGCTTTCTACTTCACTTTCCCCGTCGTCGTCCATACCCTCATCCTCATCCAGCGTCGGCCCTCCTCATCGATGTCCATTCCCTCCTCCTGACCTTTCTGAGTGAGCTTGGGGTCCTTATCCTTTCCGGCCTTGGCCGGTGGAGGAGGAGGACCTGCACTGGTCGTCGAGGATGTGGGTTTGTGAGTGGAAGAATGTGCAACAGGCAGGAATTTTGAAAAAGATGGATGTCGGGGACGTGCCGACGACGGTTGTGTTGATCGTTGTGCTGGCGCTGCGTGAGGAGCTTTGTGAGCAGGTTTTTGTTTGGCAGCTTTCTTTTTGTCTGGATCTGGCAATGGATCGACATGGAGTAGGCAGAACCAATTACGGCAATTCTGGCAATATATTTGACAGCAAGTGTCGGGATTATATATCTGCTTGCAGACCTTGCAAATGTGTTCAAACCAATGGCCTTTTCCCAAAACATCCAGACGACCAGTCTTGGTACTAAAGAAAAACCGATAAAAGAACGCTTTGGCGGTAAGGAGGTGGAAGTCCTCGTCCTCTATGTCGTCAGTCAGCAGGTGGAGACCTGCTAGATCTACAATAATTAAGTTCAATGGTAGGCTTCGATTGAGGGATATTCTGAATGCTTACCTATGATGTCCCCTCCGTTCACGATCCCTTCAATGTCCGTTTCTATAAACTCATTGTTGGATAATCCGTCAGTGATTTCGGAGGTGAACCCGGTATCGACGAGGCACTTTTTGATTTCGGTCGATCGAAGGAACCACGTTACGAGGACTTTTGTCTGCTTGTTCTTGGTGCGAATGCCCCTTACCCTCCCATAGGAGAGGTGTTCCCTGTCGTCAGTTATAGACGACTCGTTTTTGATCGCGATACTGAATTGAGAGATTATAGTGAAACGGCTTGAGTTGAACTGAATTTGAGATTCACATACATGTCGTCTTTTTCTATCAGTGTCATTTCATCCCCCTCGAAGCGAAGTGTCAAGGTTCCTTTTGCCCTACGGATCCGTCCGGCAATACGGGGCTGATTGGGCGGGTATTTCTTTGGGTCGAGCTCAACTTCTGGTGGGATAGGCATAGCAAATTATAATCGACTCGATTTTGGCTGGATCTTTTATATGAGTCGTGAATTGATTCATACTTAGAAATGGAGGTTTGTGATATGTCTAGAAGGGTGACAATTACGTGACAAATATGATCGAGAAAAAATTGATGTGATGATTGAACTTCCATATATATCCGAACACCGCGAACATGCCCGGAGCAGAGAATGCCGAAATGCCGTTGGGTACAGATTACCGACAATGCTGAGAACTCGATGAGCAAAAGTGCTGCGCTAGAAACTCTTGTGTTGAGCACAACCCAGTTTCTAGCACGTTATCAACATTGCAAATAACAAGGACCCCAAAAAGTCCCTGCTCAGAGTGAGTAGGGCTATCTTAGGCGATACTTGATATGTCAGCGAACCTTTAGTGACTTGGACACTTGCTGATTCAGTCCGTGGCAGCATAGTTGAAGCTAATGACATGGAGTTAGAGGAGGATTGGGATGTTGACGATTTTGCTTTGTAGTTTGATGCATTGCTTAATGAGCGATACATTACGGTTGTGTTGTTTCCTTTGTCTGTTCTGATCTTTTTAAGGCCTCAAATTCAACAGTGCGCCTATGATAAGTCAGATGTGTTCAGTGGGAAATATGAGGGCTCATAGTAAGGCTTACAAGTCGACTTGTTAATGCTGTACCAGCATCTTTAGCTTTTCTTCTAGGCCAGCAACTCTTTGACGCAGTGAGCTCGGATCCTTGTGTTCAGCTTTCCCAAATGTATCAACAACAGGTAGGAACCGTCGTTACAGCGTGGCAGTTTTGAGTTAGTTGATCTCCGATGACTCGTCCCTCAAAGCCAACTATTTTGAGAAGGAATTGTTCCTATTCCATTCCGGATCCATTGCGAACTCGAGGCCACCGGCTGCTTTTGGAAAGGCAACCCTCTAAGCAGGACAGGATTCTACCATTCTGTACACACCTAGAAGACACAATGGTGCAATGATGTCTTAGGGACAGCTTTAAATATTGTACCTAGCACAAGATAATTGTATTTCCTTGCAAGAAGTTTTACATATAGCTTGACACACAGAGCGTCCTGGAAGGAAGGCATCGTGCTATTCTATGCCTATTTCAAGACAGTAATATTGTTTTATATAGCTTGACACACAGGTCGTCCTGGAAGGACATCATTTCTACTAGTTTATACCTACCATAAAAGCAATCTGGACAGACAGAATCCTGCTGATGTATACCTACGATAAGAGAGTAATATTGCGTTGCAGGAAATTGGGATATAGCATGACACACAACATAGGCATCGTGGTCGGGCAGTATTCTGCTATACTATACCTACCATAATTCAAGCAAGCTACAGCGTGTGCTACGAAGCAAAGGACGTCTTCGAAAGATACAATTCTGCTATGGGGTTAGGGATCATCAATCATTCCTAGAACACCCTGCGCAAACCTCACCGATGTTGTAACAGTCACCGCCCCGTGGTTCTTTGGTGCGGTGAGAACTTCGCCCGTATCCTCTCATACAACAATTTACCTCTGGTGGCACCTGTCGACGACTTGCTTCTAAATTATTTGCTTTACCTAAGATAAAAGACGCAACCATTGAAAAGACACCATTTCTCTGCGTGTTGCAGAATATTTACAGGATCTCTATAATTCAGCTAGACATCCTC